ATCAGAAGATGGGCAGTAGCTTCTTTCTTATAACAGCTTAAAAAAGTAAAAAACTGCGATTGCAAACTCGCTTGCCAAGCGTGGCAGCTATCCTCCTATGTTGAGCAGTGAACATTTGGTACCCATCAACTGAGAACCCTTTTATTACCATTACTACCCAGTAAATCGTAGTAAAAGGTTTCTTCGGTTTTCAGTGTGCTGCTATTTGACGCTGGTGATCTTTGCGAGCGTAGTCCTTCTACGATCGAGCTGACCTTCAGCCGTTATCATTTTTCTGCCGACTTCCAAAAAGGAGCCGGTACTCAATTCGACTGTATGTTTTTTTTTTCGTTTTTTTTTTTTATGTGTGTTACCTCAGAACTTTTTTCTGGGTGAACCGATTTCGATGATTCTTTTTTTATTTGAAAGCTGGTACTTCTCGTGTGGTCCCATATGAATTTGATCAAGGTCAGACCAATAGTTTTTAAATTATTCTTAAATAACTTATATTGAAGTCGGCTGTACAAAATTTTTAATTTTAAATTATCTTCTTCTTTATCAGCCCGTAGAAGTCTAAAGTCTTTCCCGGCTGGGTTATGCTGCTAATGTCTAGTGTTAAGCATTACTATTAAGGCAAACTAGGGATGGGTTTCTTCTGATATATCATTGGCGATTGCGTAACAGACGTCTCGCGCCTTTGACTGTGCTCCCCGTCACTTATGTGGGTATGTACGCCTAGCGTAAACGAAATATTAATACGGCCATCTACTGGAAAATATAAGGTTTTTCTAGTATTTTCCAAATTTAACATAGTGGTGGAGTGAAATAGGAGTGCTGGTACCCCAGGAGAATATAGGGGTGCTGCCTGGTGATAGAGAATCCCTCGCTGAGCATCCACGCCCAAGCTACCCTATTTTTTCTAAGCTGAGTGCTTGGTGGGTATTCTGGGAGGGGGGGGGGCGGCGAAATTCCGCTCAAGATTAAACCTGCTCAGGGCAAGCGGAGCAATAAAATAAAGGTAACCCCTGCCACGCTTTCCGTGAATTTGTGGACACAGGTGTCCTCTCCCGCTGATACTTCATATCTCTCCTACCCGGGGTACAAATTAGAACACTCCTTTGTTCCCCGGGATGGAGTTTGCATGTACGTCCTATACGGTTGAAGATACGGACCTATCCATCCTATGGCTGCGCGTAGACAGCGACCACCATCTTGTGCCTCTATAGGTCCCATAGCGGTGATGCAGACACAGACCGACTTTAGGGCATGAGCCAGTGAGTCTTTGCTTCGAACTCGACTCGCGTTGACGGGGGAAACACACCGCCGACTTATCCCGTGGTGTGAATGCTCCATGCAGGAAGTGCTGTTTACACAGCACTCGTTGCGCAAAGCACTCCTCTTCCTGGACATCAACAAGACGAGTGGGCCTGATGGAGTTCCACCTATTGTACTGAAAACGTGTGCTTCGTAGTTGGCTTGGTTGGTTGGATTTTAACGCGTCTTTTCCAGTACTTCTACTCCCTAGGCGTAGCCCCGAACTCATGGAAAACAGCTTTGGTGCACCCATCCCTAAAAAAGGCGACCGATCAGATCCTTCCAACTACAGACCTATCACTATCACCTCCTTGTTGATTATTAACTGCCAGCTCATGTGGTACCTTGAGGATCACCAGCTGATTAGTGACCGCCAGTACGGTTTCCGTCGAGGTCGCTCAGCTGGTGATCTTCTAGGTTACCTAACTCATAGATGGGCGGAGACAGTGGAGTCCAAGAGGAAGGCGTTGGCCGTTAGTTTAAACATAGTGAAGCCCTTCGATTGGGTTTGGCACGAAGGGCTTCTTTCGAAGCTTCCTTCCTATGGGCTTCCCGAGAAATCGTGCAATAGGAACACCAGTTTTCTTGCAGATCGGAGCATCAAGGTCGTAGTAGACGGTGCATGCTCCGACTAAAAGATCATTAACGCTGGTGTTCCACAAGGCTGCGTGCTATCACCAACGCAGTTTCTTCTGCATATTAATTATATGTTGCAAACTGGTAACGTTCATTGCTATGCAGACGACAGCACTGGTGATGCTTTATATAATATATATCCTGGCCGTGCTAAAATTTCTCGGGAAAACGTCGCCAAGTACCGGAACAAACTTGTGTCTGAAGTCGAGACTTTGTTGAACTAAGTCTCGGACTGGGGGCGACTAAATCTAGTCCAGTTCAATCTCCAGAAGACTTGTGTCTTGCGCGTTTACCACTAAAAGAACCCCTTTGTCGTATCTCCTCAATTCTAAGGCACTCCCCTTGTTGCCTCAGCCAGTATCGGAATCCTCGGTGTCGACATATCTAGTGATGTGCAGTTTCCTGGTCATTTGGAAGAGAAAGTCAAATTGGCCTATAAAAACTTGGAGTGCTTAACAGAGGAAGACGGTATTTCATGCTGGTACACCGCTTGCAACTTTACAAGACGCTGGTTCGGCCCCACATGGAATACTGTTCCCATCTCTGGGCAGGGGCTCCTCTGTGTCAGCTCCTTCCACTTGACCACATCCAACGCAGGGCGGTTCGAATCGTCGATATCCGAGTTCTTTCCGATCGACTTGACTCACTGACACTGCGTAGAGATGTTGCATCACTTTGCGTATTTTATCGCATCTACCACGGGGAGTGCTCTGAGAAATTGTTCGGACTAATTCCAGCCGCTTAATTTCGCACCATCGCACATCGCAACAAAACTCGCGATACCATCCATACCATCTGGATGATTGGCGGTCCACCACTGTGCGATTTAGAAGATGTTTTCTTCCTCGCACAACTTCCTTGTGGAATCGATTACCACCGGCGATTTTTCCGAACCGATACGACTTAGGGACCTTGAAGAAAAGAGCCTACTCCTTTTTTAAAGGCCGGCAACGCATTTGCGATTCTCCTGGTGTTGCAGTTGTTCATGGGCGGCGGTAGTCACTTACCATCAGGTGAGCCGCATGTTCGTTTGCCCCCTCTCCTATAAAAAAAGTCACCTCATACGTCACCCGGACAAAAAACGTGTCTTCTCGGTAGATTTGCACCGAACACATAGTTAAACTAATTAAAAAAGATATTAACGATTTTAAAAAGCTTCTCGCTAATGAGGAGCTTTATGTAGTCGAATCAAATCATTATATTGCTAATAGCTTAATTGGCTTGGGAGTCAACAAAAACAGTTTAAAAGAGGACCATGGTCAAATGAACCATTCTAAAGTCCTCTCTTAAATAGGATTTCTTTTAAAGAAGTGTTTTGAAATTAAATAGACGCAATGCAGTCATTGTTTACTGAAGTTTATTGTTTTATTTACATATGTAAATTGCATCGTGTTACCATGAGTGGATTAAACAATTAATTATGTAAATGCGAAGGTTTGAACACCGCTTAAAAAGGGCGGGTCACGTAGTCTACATCGAAATTGTGTGAAAATGAAACAAAGTGGAAACACACCCTATTAATTAATCTAAAATTACACCAAACAATGTACAATAATAATTATTCTGCAGCATTGGTGCTTTATCAGACATAAATAAAACTGGCATCGTGGCATATAAATTCGCTCGGAATTCCAAGGCTTTAGAATTAAAATTGTAACTCAGTTTGTTCACTATTAAAATAACTATTATAACTAATAATCCAAAGATCCATGGTAGCTCAAAGGCTAGGCGTTCGCTGTATATATCACAGTATGTAAATACTCGTAACCGAGGTTCAATCCTCGCCGGCATTAATAAAATTGTTAATTGCAATTTTACGTGCTGTTTTACCTTTTACTCTGCGGAGAAAAAAATATCGTGATTAAGGATCAAAACACAGATGCTTTACATCGCTGAAGACTAACATAAAATACCTCATTACCAGTTTAAAGGGTTTCGACGCCCGCCAAGACTGGAACATTATGCTGCTATTTCACGCTGGTATTTTGTGCCCTGATTGAGACCCATTCGTGCCGCCGCCATAATATGTCGTACTCTACCACGTAAATTATAAACGAATGCTTAAGTGGCAGTCAGACGGTCTTGGGTGATAAAACGCACATGGTTAATAAAGGTCACTCTTCTCTTGGATACACATCTTGAACATGATTGTCTTGCAGATATCATCATTGTACTCGGATAGAAAAATTGTGCAGGTAAATTACCTACTTCTTTAGCAAGATGCTTCGTCAGTATGCTTGGTATATCGACTCCAAAAGGATGGAAACTCGCAGTGTCCTTTATTTTCAGATGGAGGAAAAGGTATAGGTAGGAATGTTTGGGACATGGTAGAGCCACGCTCCAACTATATTATGGCTTTTATTGCGCCCAGATGCAATGGAAAGGGCTACCCTCCGGGCAGCGAGGTAGGGAGGTGGTGAATGCTCTAAGAATACAGCCGGCTGCCGTGGTTATGCGGGACTCACTGCGAAACCTAAGCGCCTACCCACTAAACACCACCTGTGAGACTGGCATTGGCTTTTGTGGCCTTTCTGCCGAATTGGAAGCGACCCTCTTTAGGGAAAAGGGGGCGCAGTCTATATTATGGTTTTAGCACGAATAGGTCGGCTTGACCGGGGTATGACATCGCTCTCATAGAATACCAGCTTAAAATACCAGCCTAATGCTGCTGTGTTTCGTATGGTGAGTGTAGAGAACCAGAGACCTTTTTTTATAAAACGAAGCATTTCATCTTAAGGGTGTACTTAAGGGTGACAACGCATCTGCATTTTGATTCTTAAATGAGGATAAGTGTAGATGTCTATGGGCCACAGCGTCTACTTACCATCAGGTGGACTGTGTGCTCGTTTGTCACCCAGATTCTATAAAAATAGGTAATTAATCAAGTAACTCGTAAAATAAAGTATTATTATAGAACACCCTGCTGGTCGTGGGCTTTTCCCATAACATTGTCAACAACTACAAAGTAAAAACAATAAAGCTACACTGGGTATGTAATTAGCTGTCAAAGTAACAGTTATTATTGATGCGTGGACTATGTTAAAATCAAACTTAAAATTGTCTTTTTACAGAAATAGCAGCAGAAGTGATTAAGCTTAATATAACGAGCAACTGGAAACCAGAGTTCGGATGGGAAGTAATATGTTCTTGGGAGATGCTGCCTAATGACACGTTACAATCGGTGCGCCTACAAAACAATGGCCAGCAATTCATGATTTATAGACCCGAGGTACGTGGAATTATATAAAATTAAAAAGTAAAAACCGACTTCGAAAACCAAAAAAGGATAAAATATTTTTCACATAATTTCTAAAGTCGGTGCTTAAGGATAATATTTAAACAGCCCAAAAGGAGTTCAAAGTTATAATGTGGATTAATTACAAGGTTTTTCTTTTTTGCGTTTTTGAGTGGACTAAGCTAGTAATATATAAGTCAATGGAGCTAAGAAATATCACAAATAGAATGTCGTGTAAAAAGTACGTAACTATAAAATGTTCACCCTTCATTTTTACCCGTGTAATGTGGAACTTTCTTATCAAATTTAAACGGTGTTTCTGTTTAAATTCGATGCAGTATAAACTGTTTAATGGAAAAACCGTCAACATATCTGTTTGTGCAAAAAATAATCATTTAAAAGAACCATTTGTATCCGCACCGGTCTCCGAGGAATCGGTGAACTTAAATATAAAAACATACACGTCGAATGTAAAACCTTTTTGAAGTCAATTAAAATATAATAATAATACCAACATGTAAGGGAATAAATTACAAAAAAGTATACAGCATGAATCGAAATAAAAGTGCACGCACACAAACAAACATGCACGCACGATCGCATGTACGCTCGCAATGGCGTGCAAATGACAAATTATTAAACTTTAAACAGCTAAAAAGTATTTTTTGCTACCATTCGTATTATTCCCATGGTCGAATGAGTAAACACACGTACTAGTGGTTTGAATTTTTAATAACGTACATATATTTTAACTTTTGAAGAAAATTTGACAAAATTTACAGTCAGTATTTTTTTATAAAACTGAAGAGAAAAACGTACTTGCAGCCCTGATTGTAAGTGGTTAATACAGACCATGGACACGTGCACCCAACTACTAACAATGAATACAACTGATACATTTTCCCCTCTGAGGTCTAAGATGAAATGCCTCACCGTCTGTTGTTGTTTAATTATACTGGCTCACTATTCACTGCAGACCAGAACACGGTAATGCAAGCACTGCTATTTGGCGGTAGAAATAGGTAAGAGGTTACCTACCCAAATGGTGGAGTCCATCAGGCATCTAGCAGAAACGAAATCCCCGATATATTTTCCGATAATTAATTTTTATTTATTTTAACTGCTTTAATAGCATTATCAACCTAACCATGCGTGGCAACTGTTGCAAATACCCCCGCTATAAGGCAAACTATGGGGTAAACCTAAGTTCAGCACTTAGTAGACTCTTGAATCTGTAATGATGATGATTATGAATAATGGTGTTATGCCCTATCGAAATTATCTGTAGGTAAACGCAACTGAAATTTAACTGTGCGTTGCGAGAATAGGACCAAATCACTGGAATAAAGTATGGGAACCCTGAAAAACAAACTTGTAATGCTACTATACTCCACATTCCACAGAGTCATTATGAGAATATCCGGGCGCGTTAACGTTTTGTCTCTACAAACGTATTGCTCTGTTTTCTCTTTGCATAATGACAATAGAGCGAAAAAAATTTAACGATACAGTCTATATCCACCACTGATATGTTCCTATGTTTTGTTTTTTCTTGTAATTAACAATTTAAAAGAAAGAAACTTCTAAATTAATCCACATAATATAAAGATTCTGAAGTCGGTGCTAAGACAATATATCTGCTCAGACAATATATAAGCTTTTCTTCAAATATATGGAAATATTCCTTATATTCCCATCACCACTGAAGTATAAACATTTTTTTTTAAAAGAAATATTAAAATCCGATCACAATTGGCGAAGAGAACGCGTAATATATATATATATAAAAATAGAGAACCTCTTCCTTTTTTAGATTAAAATAGTAATGAAAATATTATTGATAATACCCCTGGAAATATTGGGATTGCTTCCAAGCCGTTTCTAAATATTGAAGTTACATGTACCACTTACTAGAAGCTAAAAGAGACGACGAGACTTTGTGCCATAAAAAGCTCCTTTCTCTAATGTCTAATTTCACACATCCTGCACAGCCGCACAGATTTTGATCGCGTTGTCTTTTCTAGTACATAGTATATATGTAAGTTATATTACTTCAATGTTTTTAAAATTATTTTTATAATTGTACAACTTATTTATTGCAGTGTTACAGCTAAAAAATTCATAAGATTTCTTGCTGGTTCCTTTTAAAAATATTTTCAATAAATACTATTTGAAATCTATGTTGAATAAACATTGCTATATTCTATTCTATTGTTCGAAATAATTTTAATATAACCTCCCATAATTTCGTGAACATATTAAACTTATTAAAACAAAAACTATAAATTCCATAACAACGAAACAGTTAGGAACTGTCGATTTTTATCGCGTTATATTAATGCGCTCTAATTAACATAGTTGTGTGAAATGAGGTTTTGTAAAATATAAAAAATATTTTAAATACAAAACTACTACTACTACAGTACTAATCGTGTAGTGGTGATGTATGAATATCCACTACCCCATATCGTCCCATGGGTGTTAATAAGAGACAGACAGAGAGAAGCAAATCAGAAGTTGGGCAGCAGCGCATTTCCTAATAACAACTTGCCTCACAAACATGGCAACTACGGCAAATATCCCCTTTATGAGACAAACTATAGGGAGGTCTATAGGCCTATGTTCAACAATGGACTTTCGATGTAACGGTAACTATAGAAGTATGAAGTATGTACACTTAATACAAAACATAAGACAAAATAGCCGTGGTAGCTGAGATGGTTAGCGCTCGCTGTAAGCTTCACAGTACTCGAGCAACCCGGGTTCGATACCCACCGGCACCAATGAAATTGTTAATTGCAATTTTAAGTGCTGATTTACCACATGCTTGGCGGTGAAGGAAAACATCGTGAGGAAACTTGCATGTCTGAGAAATAAGATAAAAAATATTTCCAAGATATGTGAAGTTCGCCAACACGCATTGGGGCAGCGCGGCGGACATTTCCTCGCCCTAAAACCCTCAGAAAGGAGAGGAGGCCTGTGCCCAGCAGTGGGATGTAAATAGGCTGCAACTTTACTTTACTTTATAAGACAAAATACAAATTACAACCTTATTTTAAAATCATTAGTTTACAATTATTATTTTTTATTTTGAAACAGATACATGGAGCATCTAGAGCCGAAATATTCAGAACACCGGAAAATGTTATGAACGTTGACTGCACACTCACCGCTATGAAAGGTCGCCGAGGAAAATGTGTTCTCAGTATTGAACCTTACCAGCCACCAACTATTGACTTCACGTACACCTGCGAAGTGTCAGGAGAAAGACCCAAGTTTATGATTGAAAGAAAAGATTACGTTGTGAAGACACTTGGTAAGTTGATAGGTTGATAGCTTAGATCCGCGTTATAAAATAAAATGATGTGTCTTACCTAATTTGAAGAGCACCTTCTGCCCTCACTCGATTGCATGCACTATCCCCGTCACCACTAATCCCAGCACCACTACCCCAACAGCACTACACTAGGAAATACACACCACCGTCAATAATACGACACGTGTTTCGCCTCTAAACAATGAACCTCTATTAAGGTAGACTCTACTGTGGCTGACCACTGAGTGAAATTAAGTAAGTTGTCTTTAATATAAAAGTTTTTACAGACCTGTCGGGTTATGTCAGACCTGTAACGACTTGTGGCTCAACGAACTCATTTAGCCGCATATTGACAGGGTCCTGGGAACGCTTTTACAGACATCTGCAGCCCTGCTAGCACCGGCCATTCATTGACTGGATAGAGGAGGGCATTTTTTTTAAATGAAACTCATTTAGTACCGTTGTGATTCGAAACGCAATGAAACGAAAAAGTGACACTAAGAAGAGACAAACATCTATATGATTTAGCTTGCGAGAGAATGAGAAAGACTGACGATGAGGGTCAAAAGTGGCAGAAATCTGTTAGTGCGATTATTAATCTACCCGCTAAGCGTGGAAATTCTGACTTTCCTTCCCGACATCGGTCTTAAACACTATAGCAGCTCATGCACAACCGAAACAAAAATGGTAAAATCAAATTATTTCACCTTTGTCTTTTCTGTCGTTTCCAGTACCACCAAGCGCAGCAAAGTTGGAATACAAGGCTTACGAAGAAGTACCACCAGGTCGCGTGATGTTAAACTGCACCTCCAGCGGTTTACCAGCACCGAGCTTACAATGGACTGTCGCTGATGATAAGGTAAACAAAAGGACTTTGATATTTCACAAACAAAATTTATATGTATATAGGACTACATATCTTCATCTTCTTTGTCGGCCCGTGAGTGGTTCACTGCTAATCATGGGCCGCCTCCCGGTGTAGGAAGTATTTTCCTTAATATTCATGCATAGCAAGCTGTTTAGTATCGCAGTTGTATCAGACTTGTTGGTCTTGTGGTCCTAAACGCGGTTGCTAGTCATGAGGTCCTGGGTTCCAATCCCGAGTCGGGCAAAAATCAGTTATTGGCTTTTTCTGTCAAGAAGTACTGAGTAGCAGCCCGGAGTCAGGAAGTTGGCGGTGTTTAACCTCCGTGCCTCGGAAAGCACGTGAAGCCGTTGAACCTGCGCCTGATCTCACTCCAGTCGTGTCGGATAACCATTCTATCGAACTATGAGAGTTATGTAATATTATCTCTAATATTTAAAATTTTTGTCTGTCTGTTTGTTCCGGCTAATCTCCGAAACGGCTTGACCGATTTCGACGGGACTTTCACTGTGAGATAGCTGATGTTATAAGGAGTAACTTAAGCTACTTATATTTTACTTATATAGGGTTCCGCGCAACATAATTAAAACCCTGAATTACACGCGGGCGAAATCGCGGAGAACAGCTAGTAATTATATAGTATAGTGATTTTATTATTTTTAATATAATTTATTTTATATAGATATTTTTTGTGATGTACCATTTATATCTTTTGTATTTTATTCTCATTCTTTTTGTTATTTTAGTTTAGTATTCGCATATTAACTTTTTATTACATCTACTGCATTCTATCCCTGCATCATCCCAAGGTAGACACGGGTAGAGAATGCTTTAGGTATTAAATCCGCCTATATACCACGTGTTTATATGAAGTTTTAAACTTGTGCTTGAGCATACACTTGGGCATTATAACCCCGTCCTAGGCAGTCTAGTCTCTGTTGAGACTGGCCGCCGTGACCGAAATTCGGTCTGGAGGACATTATTATATTTATATCAGACGTCTCACTCTCGCACCATTGACGCGGCTTCAAGTCGCTGGTTTGGCTATCTTACGTTTGGCGTTCACAAGATAATAATACCGCCATGTATCGGAAGCTCCAAGAATTTTCTGATCTATAGATAAAGAATATATTCGCTTGGTATGATGTGTTAGCACGGTAATGGTTTCTCTAAAGCCATCACATAACATAAACAACATATAACATCATATAGACAAGCCGATGAACTATGCCCCTTATGACATCCTTATCCATCCATCCTTCCACGACATGATTAGTAAACATTATAGATTGTAAATAGCTTACTCCTGACAACTCACCTCTTGTTTGATAATGGCAGTCGTCTCTAACCTTTGACGCCTCATTGCCGTAATACTTACGTCAAATCTAGCATAACATAATATCACAAGACAGTACACTGCGACGTCAAACGGATACCACAAGATCTACCAGGAATTTCTCTTAACAAGTTTATTATTAAGTTGTCGGTCTTGTGAAGTGGCTTTCACTTTACTGAGTATTGAATTTTCAAACTTTACTGAGTACTAAATTTAGATACATTCTATTTATCACGGGCTGAGGACTCGTTGGAATTCCAGTCGAATATTTGTGAAACCACTAACTATTGATGCTTAACACTCCAGTAGTCGCGCGTTCTACTATTGTAGAACGCGTGTACATTTTGTTGAATTTTGTCGCAAGTTGAAGGTCACTCACGCACACATTCTCAGTATTCCTCTATTACTAGGCAATAAACAATTGTGGTGTCCTTGCAGCGACGGACGCAGCCGCATGTCTGTGAAATTTGGCGCCAAAAGGGAATTTCTACGATTGTAGAGCGCGCGACCACTCGCGTGACATTTTTCTCGTAAGTTGCCGTTCATGTTTTTTGTTGTAATAATGTTTATTACCTTTTTATTTATTGTTATGTTTATTTATTTTTATTGTTATAACATGTACAACTTATTGTAAGATTAGCAGTAACAAGAGTGGCCCTTTTTTTTCAGAGAAATGGCTTCCCGAAGTGAAGAAGAGAGAATTAGTAGATGGCTGGAGAGAGAAGACACTGATCCTAGTGATATAGCAGAGAGTGACCCTGAAGATCGATTATTAGAAGAGGAATGGTTTGAAGAATATCAGCACGATACGGACACGGAACAGGAAGGAAATAGCACAGAGTCCGACCTGGAACGAGGTATGATTAGCACCCATGAATCCGATTTAGATTCCGATGATGATATACTCCTAAGTTCACTCAGAGACCAATATTATACGTCCAAAAATGGTACTAAGTGGAGGAAAACGCCTTATCCTGTCACAAGAACACGTACTTGTAATATTCTTACAGAACGAGCAGGGCCTAAAGACGCAGCCAAAAATGCGAAGTCCGAGCTAGAATGTTTTGGACTGTATTTTGATCAATCTGTTTTAGAGATCTTAGTAAACTCCACTAATATCTATATTGAGGACGTAAAATCCAAATTTTCTAGAGACAGAGATGCTAAATTAACAGATATATTAGAGATTAAAGCATTCCTTGGCATGCTCTTTGTGATGGATGTCCACAAATCCGGAAGACGGAACTTGGAGGATTTTTGGAATACGACCCGAGGTACAGGTACCGAATTAATTTATCTCGTCATGTCACTAAAAAGATTTAGATTCCTGCTACGAACAATACGATTCGACAATATAAGAGACAGAGACGTACGTAAACAGCATGACAAGCTAGCTTCTGTGAGAGATATTTTTGAGAAACTGGTCGCCAACTTTCAAAAACACTTTGTACCGGGTGAATACATGACATTAGATGAACAACTAGTAGCTTTCCGAGGACGTTGTCCCTTCAGACAATATATCCCAAACAAACCTGCTAAATATGGTATTAAAATCTTTTTACTAGCAGACGCTAAAGTACCGTACTCCTACAACATGGAAATTTATGCGGGCGCCCAGCCTCCCGGTCCATATGAACAGTCGAACAAGGTTGTGGATATTGTGAATCGAATGTTTACTCCCGTGAATAACTCGAGTCGTAATGTCACGATGGACAATTGGTTCACGAATATAGAGCAATTCACAGAGCTTCTAAATAAAAAAAATTACCGTTGTTGGCACTTTGAAAAAAAACAAACCACAAATTCCCGAATCCTTCAAGCTTACTAAACATCGATGTGAGAATGATACAATATTTGGTTTCCAAAAAGAGGGGACTTTAGTATCATACGTGCCAAAAAAAAACAAGGTGGTGCTAATGTATTCTTCTATGCACTATGATGGAAATATCGATTTGACAACAGTAGAGAAATGTAAGCCCGAGATAATAACATTTTATAATAATACAAAATATGGCGTGGATATTGTGGACAAAATGTGCGGTTCTTACGACGTTTCCAGAAACTCTAGACGTTGGCCGCTTACTGTATTCTTTGATATGATGAATATAAGTGCCATAAACGGATATGTTGTGTATACAATAAACAAGGGCTACAGTAACAAGCCACGAAAAGATTATTTGTACGAAATCGGTTTTCACCTTGTCGCTCCGTGCATAAAGCGCAGAATAACTGTAGAAAGCATTCCAAAATCCCTGAAAATAAAAGGAAAACTTCTTTTGGATCTAAATGATCCCTCCGAGTTGAACCCGGGCCCAGGACAACCCTCAAACACCGGACGTGTTGGTAAATGTTCTTTCTGTGGCAGAGCGCGCAACAAGTCCACCAGGAAGCTTTGTTATATATGTAACAAGTGGATTTGTCCCGACCATCAGGTTCTTCTTTGTCCCGACTGTGCCAAAAACGAAGAAATGGAGGTGGAAGACATGACAAATTAAGAAATATGAGACTTATAATGTTAAGAGCAAAAATTTAGCGTTTTTTTTTTTGTTATTTTGAAAAAGGCTGTTTTTTAGTTCCTATTATGTTTAAATATGATTATGTTTTGTTTCTTTTAGCTTTATAATAATAACGTTTATATCAATATTATACAAATACTTTTTATTTATGAAACTTTGCTTTAAAACTCCATCATTAAATATGTTCTACAAATGTAGAGCGCGCGACTACTAACGTCCCAAATAGAGGCGCGCCTACTGGAGTGTTAAAGTTACTGCGTCATTTAAGTTTTCACAGGTACACGAACTTGATAAGTGATACCTGAGTATTATTGGTTATGTTAAAGCGCTTTTTTTTTTAAAAAAAACTAGCATATACAGTTACACTGCAAATGATGTTAAGTCAATGCCTTATTCCATAGACACATTACATCTAGACTCTATTAGGAATCAAAATGCAAATGCATTCTACACCGCTAAGAGCTAAGTAGGAGTACATCGTTTCCAGTAAAAAGGAGGGCTAAATTGGAGTTCTATTGTTCTCGTCGCTAAACCTTTTGTCTTTTATTTTGTCTTTTTTTTAAAACGTTACTCCCATACTAGGATTTTCTCTTGTATCGTGAATTCAGTTTACATACATAAATTTCACAAGGACAAACATCAAGCCCCAAAAACCATACAAAAAACATGCGTGAGTGTCGTGGAACACTCGGTTGGAACGAAGTTCCTTTCGTAGTATATTATTATTGATATACGTATTATATTATTGATTAACAAGTACAAAATAATGAATTACAAGCGTCTATAAAATGAAGCGTCATTTAAAATAAAATACACTATGACACAAGGGGTAGTGACGAAAAAATCTTACATTTTTTGTCGCATAGCTCCCATCCGCCAAACTCGTACCGTCCGATAAGGAACTTCGTTCTAATACTTGTCCCTTGCGGGATTCAAGCCCGCAACCCGCAGTGCTTTAACTCATTGCTAAGCCACTGCGCCAAGGAGCCGTCAAAGTCTTGTCCTGTCTTGTCGCTGGTATTTTTTATTTTTTAAAGATGGGCAAACGAGCATGCGGCTCACCTGATGCCGCCCACGAACAACTGCAACACCAAGGGTTTTTTGCAGGTGCAATTGCAGGTGCGTTGCCGGCCTATTAAAAATAAGTAACCTCGTTTCTTGAAAGTCCCATAGTCGTACCGGTTCGGAATAATCGCCGGTGGCAATCGATTCCACAAAGAAGTCGTATGAGGAAGAAGACCACCATGAATTCAGATGTTATGGATCATATCGTGAGTTTAGTGAAAGTGTGATTCTTCACCGGCCTACCTCAGTGTTACCACACCAATCAATCGCATCGAGCAATGGTAGAATAGATTAGTCGACGTCGAGCGAGCTGCTTAATTATTCGAGAACCCACCCCACCCCACCGACTGCTATTTAAAATGTCAGACTGCTGTTTAAAAATCAGAGATCGCGTTCCGTCGCATTCGTAGTATTCTGCGTTTGCGTCTCCATAATATCTAATAATGCGGTAGTTGTGCGTAGTGGCCAACAATAACGTGTCCTCTTCTGAATAAATTTTGAAAAATACTGATGATGAGCCCCACAACTACATCGATTAATTATCGATCGATGATTGAACAATGTTTTATCGACCAGTATCTGTCGATCAGCTAAAGCTACCACACCAATTGATCGACATCGATCAACGCCGATCAATGGCATCGATCGACGATCGATCGATTGGTGTAGTAACACTCTAAAGTAGCCTATGTGGATCTACCTCAAATTTAAGTAGGTAATGATCGAAAGTTATCACCGTAGTGTCAAACAGCGCGAAGGAAAGAATTCTTTGTTTATTGTTGAAATTGTAGATAAGTCAATTTTGAAATATTTTAAAACATTATTAGTTAGTTGAAGAAAAAACTAAATCAATGATATGAATAGATAGTAAAAAATAAACCCACAGAACTCACGCATTTAGATTTGTTCCGAATCACACAAGGTACAGGTTGAGTCGATATAATTAATATTCAATAGTTATTAAGAAAGAAGAAAGAAAGAACCATTTATTTGATAAACACTTTTTAAACACAATTCAAGAAATATACAAATGCAAGGGATAAAAATATGCATGCACACGTCTAATGGCGGCTCTTCACGTTGGCCAATATATTGGCGAATGTGTTGGTCAATACCAATGGCTATCGTGTAGAGCGGGTGTTAGTGTTTACGTTGGTATGTATTGGAATGATGGCCCACAAGTTGGCACAAGATCCGTGTGATGTCGGTTTTTTACAAAAGATCAAAGGGTTGTGGCAGAGTATTGGCCGCCGCGTCCACACGTTGGGCCCCAACATTACGCGGGTGCACATTAGTTTGCTACGAGCTCACAGAGTGATCGCACGCACCTGATTGAAATTTTATATTCACACATCTTAACTAGTGTCTACAAAATGGCAGTAATAATGACCAATGAAGAAACTTTTCGCTTTATAGAGCTCTACCAAGCCGAAAATTGTTTGTGGAACAGAAGAAATAACATAATCAAACTCCTGTCGCTCGCGTTCTCTGGAGTTGAACGGCGCTAAGACCTATCCAACCTATCTAATCTTTAAAAGAAATACAAGTTTTGATGATTTTAGTTCTTGTTATATTTAAAATTACGTTATAAAATGAAGATCCACAACCAAGAGCACAACCTTTACAAAAATGGCCTATAAAAATATTTTTTAGCAATACACCTACTCTAAATTAAATTTTCTACGAGAGCTTACGTGTTAACGTTAATAAATGAATGTACCTTTATAATGATGAAAATTCAGATTTACGAAACGCTTTTAGCAAGGGCCGTAACAATTTCATGTGTAATGTATCAGATAGAGCAATGTAATTAAACATAACATGCAAGGGTTTTCGGACGCTTTTATTATTCAACCAGTTCTCTTTTAGATATCATAATACATCATCAACGCTTGTTTTAATTGTTGATACTCGTAAAATTACTGGCAACAACAAATACCATCTTCGTACGTAGAGAAAAAAATATAAATTTATTATTTTGTCGATGATCAATAACTAAGGCGCGAATACAAGGATGGTTATGGAGTGAGTGCGAGCAACTGGTTGTCCTGGAACTTTAGTATTATATAGAAAAAACGGCATTTTCACTATTCATGTTCACCATTATATTTGACTAATTTCCCTTCTTCTTATCAGCCCACAGCTGGTTAACTCGCCAAGCAGATTGTCTAAGTCAAAGTACAAGGCATATCGTTTTTTTAGGCTTCCGTACATAGAAACTAAAAATAAACGGAAGCCTTAGCAATCCTCACTTATCCACATCCAAATCCAATGAAATCACAATCCACATTAGTCCGTTCGTCAGCTTGTCATTCTATCAAGACCCTTTTTCGCAGGATCTGTAAAAGATATATAGTTGAAATAAATATGAAACCCTAAGGTCTATGGTCTCTTAGAGGTATAAAACATTCAAGTTTCTAAGTCAACGCGATCAAGAGATTGGGGTATATCTTATCACATATTTTGATACTCGACAATTCAGCACAAGTAACTAAAGATGTTCCATATATTTTATAGTTTTGTGACATAAAATATATTTCTCGCAATTACGAACTAGCATTTACAGTTGGGTCATTCACTGTGATGTAGACCGATGTATGGGATAATATATTTTTTTAAGTTTTTCCAATGCAACATTAAATTTGTCCTTCAATTCGACATACTTGTCCGCTAGAGCTAGGTTCGGTGCTTCTACAACTTTAGACATAATTAAGTTTATATGGAACTCAGGGTGCCAGTCCTTCTCGCATTTAACCGGTTTCTCTGAAAGTTCACTGCTGTACAAGGGCCTCCACCATAGATTGTCTCATAGGCGGGATATTTGCCACAGTTGCCACGCTTGGCAAGCGGGTTAGCTACCGCAGTTTTTTTTTTAGTCATTATTAGGAGTACGCTGCTACCCATCTCCTAATTTGTTTCCCTCTGTCGCCTATAACGATACTCACGAGATGGTATGGGAGGTAATGATATTATTACACCGCTACTACTCGGTAATTAGGATCGTCACCGAATTATACATTAATATTTAGTATCTGAGCGACCAAGCTTGCTCGGCGTTAGTTAAAAAAACCCTGCTCATAGCGCTCTCCACAGCTCGCCGAGCAACCTTTTAAAAATTCCTTAGATTTCAATCTCAAATTCCATAGTTCCGTAAATGATGTCGAAATTCCGTAGATCTACGAAAAAATCCATATCCTACATATTTATGTATCTATGGAGCCTACGAGTACGAGCTCCCAGAGTGATCGCACACACCTGATTTTAATTATATATTCACGCGTCGTTATCAGTGTTTACAAAATGACAGTAAAATGACCAGTGAAGAAACTTTTCTTTCTATCAAGTCGAAAATTGTTTGTGGAATCAAAAGACAAAATTTCTTTTTGATCACCCTTTTCACGTAGTAGCGTTTTGCTGTGAATAAATAAACCGCAGCTTCCGTTAGCGCCTCAATATCCATTTTAATAAATTCGTCCAGACATTGGCCTGAACCGAAGCAAACTGAACGATCTTCCAACGTGTGGACGCAATCACAAACTCTTGGCTAATATCTCTGCCACAGCATTCACCACAATGTTGGCCAACGTGAAGAGCCGCCTTGAGCGGACTTAATGCCTTATCTTTACCAGTTACTTTATAATATCTGGCATAAATAAGAGACGGTTATGTAGACATCTATCAGAAATTACGAGATTTTTGTGAGTGACCAATGATTTTAGTCTGTATCTTTTGTTCCAGGTCCAGGCTGACTTTACAGGGAGGTTATGGAATGCAACCTCGAAGCTATGGCATGTTTGGTCATTCTTGGCCTACACTCGATCTGAGCGATCTTCTACAGTAACATGCACTCCAGAAGTTCATTCTCACAATGAACTTATAAAAGGGGCACCGGCAATGTACAGCTCTGCTAATGCGTTTGGTAATCATTTTTAGCAACTTTTGTAGGTTTTAACTTAAGCCAATTTGGTTAGTGATCAACTGTTCAGAATCTCGCCTTAAAATGTATAGCACATGAATATACTCCCCGATTAAAGGTCCGGACACACTGAAATTGTTAATTGCAGTTTTAAATGTGCCAACATTCATCACCATCACCGCATGTTTAGTGTAAAGAGAAATATTACAAGGACATAAGTCTCAACATGCACTGAGACAATACTCTTCTTCCTCCCCTAACTCACAACAGTCCACACATAGAAGTTACTCCTATTGGTAGAACTGTTCCATATCACCAGTCTATGGGATTTTAGATTAACATTTCTAAATAAAACTGCATGTATAATAGCTATGGATGGGTCGGTTCAACTGGCGAAGTATCACGATCGCACAGAAACGAGCTTGATTCATACAAATGGTAAAATTAAAAACTTTGTATAACCGACTTCAATATAAATTATTACGGATAACTCAAAAACCACTGATCAGACCTTGATCAAATTTATATGGGACCATATGACAAGCACCAGCTTTTAAATAAAAAAAAGAATTTTCCAAATCGGTTCAGGCATCTTCGAATAATCGGTGCAATTACAAAAAAATCCGACGAATTGAGAACCTCCTCATTTCTGAAGTTGGTTGAAAATGGTGACAAAATCGCAGACTCTTTTTACTGGTAACGAGGCATTCCATCTTAATCCTAAGGGTCGATAAAGCGTCTGCATTTTGGTTCTTAATTTAGGATAAATGTAAGTTTCTATGGGGCACATTCACTTACTATCAGTTATTCGTTTATCAAATTATTGCAATATATAAACAAACCTACTTACCTCGTTATACTTCCTACGTGCTACAACCACGCCGTAACTGTGTCATAGCCACTGGGTCGACCCGATCGAAGGACCACGCTCTCACAGAATACCAGCGTAAAATAACAGCATTATTCTGCTCTTTCGTATGTTAAGTGACTTTAAACGAAAACACTTTTCACTGGCAACGCCTATCTTAGTTATCGACTAAGAATTAAAACACGTCTCTAATTTGTTAGTCCCGGATAGATGTCCATTACCACCAGGTAGACTATGCGCTTATCAACCACCTTTACTTTTTGTTATAAAACTATAGTGACAATCGAAGTTACAGTTCTCCTGATGGTAAGTGGCTACTGCAGTCCATGGACACCACAGCCAACTTCAAACAAAGAAGAACCCGAAACAATTATTCGTAGGCCGTACAAATACTTGTTCCGTGCGAGATTCCAGCCGCAGCCCTCAGCGCTGCAACTCAATGTATGGCAACGGCACTTCGGAGCAGTCAAACCTCACCTCACTTCACCTCTGAAAACTAACATGGAATGTCTTACAGCCAGTAATTATCCTGGCTCTTTTACCCCTCAAACCGGAACATTGCAGTACAAGAACACCTGGCCAGACGGAATCCTAGATAGAAAAGGAGTCTTACACAAATTACTTTTTTTTTTATAGGATAAGGGTGACAAACGAGCTTACAGTCCACCTGATGGTAAGTGGTTGCTGCGGCCCATAGACATCTACATCTATTCTCTGTTACAAATCAAAATGTAGATGCGTTGTCACCCGTGAGGACTAAGATGGAATGCCTCATTTCCAGTAAAAAGGGCCTCCGGCCACCTGCACTCACCAAGCGAAACGCAGAGGTAAACCTCTACTTCACGCTGGTTTTCTGTGAGGTCGTGGTACTACCCCGGTTCGAGCCGGCCCATCCGTGCGACAGCAAAAGCTGCCGCGTGGCTCTACCACTGTTAAAACTCTTAAGCTTAAGCTAAACACTTAAGCGTCTCACTGCTGGGCACGGGCCTCCTCTTATTTCCGAGAGCATTTTAGGGCAAGGAAGTGCCCGCCGCGCTGCCCAAATGCGTGTTGGCGAACTTCACATGTCTTCGAAATATTTCTTATTCTTATTTCTCAGACATGCAAGTTTCCTCACGATGATTTCCTTCACCGCCGAGCACGTAGTAAATCAGCATTTAAACTGCAATTAACAATTTCATTGGTATCCGCGGGGATCGAACGCCCGGGTTGCTCGCGTACTGTGAAATTTACAGCGAGCGCTATCTTTTTTTTATCGTGAGGAAATCCTCATGGATACCTCCCGCTGCGGAAGCAAAGAAAAGGTTATGCCGGACTCCTACCGGCTAAAACATCACGGCGGTCACCATCATTGCTTTGCTACACTAATAGCACGTCCCGGAGGCAGTACTCGCTGCCCCCAGCACCCTCGCAGTGCTACCATGATGTCTCGAGACCACTTCTGAGTCATCGTCCTCCTCAGGGGTTACATCACTAGGCGTTCGAGGCCCCCGCCCCGAGCGTCTGCAACCCCGGAAGCCCCGCTTCTGGTAAGGGAACACTATTTTCAAGAGGAGGGCCGTCACGAACGCCTTGGCGACGTCGTCTCCGCGTGGGATCTGCTCTCTCCCGATCCCGCTCAGAAGCCTCCTTCTTAATCTTAACAGATTCACATAAGATCGCTACGGCCCTCCACGCCGAATCCCCGCTCAGGATCGCCGACACAACTGCTGGCAGGGAGAGGTTCCATCCGATGAGGTTCACCAAGATCGTCCGCTCCCGTTCCCACGCTGAGCATACTGCGAACGTATGGAAAGCGGAGTCCTGGTCCCGTCCACCATAGTGGAAGACATTCGCCGTTGCCTCGTGTTCCATCTTACACAGATAATCACCGAAGCACCCATGCCCGGTAATTATCTGTGTAAGTCTGTAGGTGTCTTCCTGCTCGCTTCATCGCATTCAGGTCTTCACTGCATTCAGGCCTCGAACACCGGCAGGATTGCTCCAATGACGCGTTTGCGTTCATAGTGCTAACTGTCTGAGCTAACCCAGTTGTACTAAATTACTTGCGTAAACTAATTGTATAAAGATAATATTTTGCATGTTACTCGTTACACCCCTAAATAGAGTTGCAGGCTTGCAGGATAAAAAAAATAATTCTTACTTTGCAGGTATTCAAGCTATTATAGCAGTCCCCATCGTACTAATGCTTCATAGGTGACGTGTATATTTCAATGGAAGGTTAATATAGATACTTAATAAAACAAAATGACACTTCAAAGTTTTTATTTTTGCTATATTATTGTTGTGAACATCTTTTTATTAAGCTGCGGTTACACTATAATTATAATACAAATATAATGCCACGTTCCTAACCATCAAGTATGACGGAGTAGTTTTTGATTGCCTAAGTTTAAATATAGCTAGCAGACTGATAGAATATGTTCCTTAAATATTACGTTTTATTAAAGATACAGAATGGATGGCGAATTTATTATAATAACTGTTTTTGAAACAAAAATAATAATGGCGATTGTTCTTATTTTCTATTATTAACATGGTTTCCTACATTTAGATAACTTTTATATTTTTCATTTGTCATTTTTATGCAAACTATTTATACAAAGCATTTCTGTAAAAAAATTAATACCGATAAGAAATATTTATATATTATGGTATTAGGCAAACAACAATTATTATCGGAGTGAATCACGTTAGTGTAACGGCAGCTTAATTAGCTAAGATTCAAATACATGTTGTATATTTATAAAAAAAAAATCTTTTAAATTGCAGTATGGGCAACATGCAGACAGGCAGTTTTCGTTACTTTTTATAATTTTAATATTCTTATTTAGCTCCGTGTATTACTGCAGTGTAAAAGATTTTTTTACAATAAGATTTCTTTGGCAAATATGCTGAGTTACTTTTACATAATATAAAGTAGATTTATATAGTCTTGTTTTTTATCTTGGCTACATAATTATTTTATGATTAAAATTCGAAATAAATTTAGCTAATAGTTAACATAGAGAAAAGTTACGTAAATATTTTTTTCGTAGAGCTTTTAGTTACCAATTATGTGCGAGATTTTATAGGTTTTTAAATGGAATTACTTATTAATAATAGGATTTATGAGATTGTAAATAATAAAATTATTATGGACGCAATATGATTAATCTTTTATTTAATAACTTTTCGTAAAAATAAATAAAATAACTAGTCTGATAATTATTATATTACGACTAAGGAATGCTCAATGGTTATTTTTATGACTAGATCTTTTTAGAGGGGTATATATACATACTCTTATTAATTTTATACAAACTCCCACAAATGCATTGTGGAGTTCCATTAATAAAAAGGAACAAAATAACTCAATTTATTAAGAGAAATAAAATTAATACTATAATTAATGAAGTTACAATTTCCTTTAAAATTGTATTTAAATGCAATAATACATAGTCAAAAGGATTAATTTCCAAATCTTATTTGGTTCCCCTACAGTTTAAAACAAACTCGATAAAATATACAGGGTTATTTTTCAAAGAGTAGCCAAATTTTAAACTTAAATACAAATATATAAATAATGGTATACCGTTCTTGCAGTTTTTAAAAATATGTGTAAATAAGGCTTCTACTTTTATTTGAAATTATACCAAACTAAATGTCATTTATGGGCAACAACGTTTTTGCCTACCGATCGACCCTTACGAATATGTGCGCGTGCAGTAAAATAATGCATTACCACGCATTTTGAATTTAAACAATAAAAAGGACAGCATGTTTGAGAAATTTTTTAATAAATTTTTCTTCACCATTTGCCTGTATCACTTATGCTGAACCGTCTCTGCAAATTTGGCCGGTTATTGCAAAAATAACCCTGAATATGCAGTCTACATAACAATAATGTACTGTATATATACAGCTTTAAATTATTAACTAGTATACAAGGTTTTATATCTTCGAGACTAAGAAAAAATGATGTATGGAAGTTTATTTTAAGTTTATTCGCAAGTTATTTTTCCATTCAATAAAGCGCAGTCTGACTTATTTCCAATCTCAAACCTTACGTGACCATTGAATTTGGTTATTATTATTACAACTCTAACGTTTATTATCACAGTGCCTTCCTCCTTCGAATGATAATTTTCTTACACCTACACACTTACATAGTTGCAAAAGAATGCACGTCACACCAATGCAAAGTTATGCCAAAAAATGGTTGAGTACTAATTTTATCCGAATCCGAATGTAATACTCAAAAAGAGGGTACCTAATATTTTAATGTATGTGTACCCTTCTATGACCGCCCGTAACTTCCTAAACTACATGGAGTATAGAGTAGAAGGAGAACCATCTTATATGTGAGGAAGGTTTCAAAACCTACCACAATAGCGCTGGCGTCTGAAAAACTACGATATGAATATAGCTGTTGTAGATGGAGTGAAGTCAGCTGAATTCAAATATTTAAAAAAAATTCATGACTAGAGTAGTTAGTAAAATGCCAGTATACAAAACCTCAACTATTTACGTAGTACAAAACCAAGCGGATTAGTCGGTCCTTGTTTATTTCTCCATCTTATTTTAATTACTTTTGGCGCTTTTTTTAATTTATCCTATGCTACAACAGCGCCACCCTTATTGGATACGTTTTTAGACACTTATTCATATACAGAGATGGTCCTACTTCTACTCTATACTCCATGCTAAACTAGTAGACATGTGTCAATCGTAAATGATTCGTTCATTTGACCCGGGTCAAATCAAAGATGCAATTGATGATTGCAATTACCTTTTTGAACGTTCCGGATCACACGATTGACAGGACCTACGATCAGAGTATACTAATGTCCGCCGACTGACATTATCGTGCGAGTCTCACAGAACACAGAGTACTGAAATTTGAAATGATCCATTTGAACGATCAACCAGAATGATCCGGTTCGTAAGACGAATTAATACTTGAATGATCGGGTCACTAGAAATGAATTAATGAAACATGTCTATAAACAAGTAGTCGGTTTAAGCCAAATAATCAGATTAAGCCAATATTATAATATTCATCTATTTGTATTTATAATAATAGCGCGGGTAAAATAGACTATGACGTTATCATAAGTCTATAAAATCAGATTCAATAACATATTTATATTTATCGAACATGGCCTGACTAAAAGTAGCGAATCAGAAGTTGATAATTAGCAAATGTATTCATGAGTATATTTCGAAGATATACAGGGTTATTTTTCAAAGAGTAGCCAAATTTTAACCTTAAGTTCAAATATATAAATAATGATATACCGTTATTGCAGTTTTTGTAATACGAGTGAATAAGGCGTCTACGTTTATTTTACACTAGCTGTGCGCCGCGATCTCACCCGCGTATATCACGCGTCTGCACCTCGCGTCATGCGAACTTCGAAAGAGACATCTCGACGGACGGTAGCTGAATTAAAAAAGATTTAAAAAGTGAAAAATGTTACTTAAATTACATGGTTATCGTAACTGGTGGCTATGCACGGTACAGGTACTGATATAGCCTTGAATACGAAGTGATTTGTTTGGATATTAGGACTAATACATAGGTACGAATAATGTATATTAGCTTGTACCGGCGTTACTATCGCATACTTAACATGGAAAAGTAGTTATTGTGACATAACTGTAATAGTTAGACATATGGTATCGATGTTAGACATATGGTATAGACGTATCGACTTTTTTGTAGATATTGATATCCTCTAAAAAACTGTAGTACATCACTTTGCTCTATTGTCAATAGTTTCCGCAGCGTACGCGATATAAGGATTATTTTTGATATTTTTTTCACATCTTGAGTTACATTAACGAAGTTTTCATACGGATCCGTAACTTTTTTGAAAATAATCTATCGCCTATGTTCATCAGGGATAATGTAGGATTCCAATGGTGAAAGAATTTTTCAAATCGGTCCAGTAGTTTCGGAGCCTATTCAATTCAAACAAACAAACAAACAAATCTTTCCTCTTTATAATATTATAAGTGTAGAAAGTGTAGATTATTCCAAATTGAATGCGATTTATGGCCAACAACTACGCATAGGCGCGCTCCCCTTTTTGCGATTCAATTCACAACGTTTTAGCCAACCGAGCGATCCTTACGAATGTGCGTGCGTAGTAAAATAGTGGGCGTTAAATATTTATGAATGACAATCACTTAAAATAATAAATTACCACGCATTTTAAATTTTAAAGATAAAAAAGGATAATGTTTGAAATTTTTTTTATTAATTTTTCTTCACCATTTGCCTTTATTACTTATTCTGAACTTTCTCTACAAAGGCCGGTTATTGCAAAATAACCCTGTATAATTTGTATATGAAAAATATGTTATATTAAAAAGATTACTGCAATCGGCATCTTTTTTTTTAATAACCAGTTCAAAAACTTTATCAGTGCATTCTTTCAATTGGCGGACCCGATATTGTAACAGTAGCCCGATGGCCCACATAATTATTCCATAAACCGTTCAGTTACCTTTTGTATAGGTACATATCGCACGTCAAAATGAGGCGTTGTTTCAATTGTAACTAGAAAATCATTAATTTTATTAAAATTAAAAAATACTTATAGATAATAAAGAAACGATTATTAATTAGACGTTTTATTAACCCCCGATGAAAACAGAGGGGTGTTATATATTTTTAGTGTGTATGTGTGTGTCTGTCTGTGGTACTATAGTTCCTGAACGGATAAATCGATTCTGATTGTTTTTTCGTTTGAAAGGTGTCTTATTCAAGAGTGTTGTTCTGTTCGAAAATTCGAAAATCTGTTCACCCGTTTGAAGATCATCAGCTCTTTTTGTTCCGGGTTTTTTAATATAAGTTATTTATTTTACTCCTACGAATCTAAATTTATCTAATGTTAAAGGCCAAAAGATATAACTAATTGTGCGTCAGAAACGATGACTTAAAATCAAGATAGCACATAATTATTATTTTTTTAGAATGTGTGACATATTGTCAAAGTCCGTTAAGCGTTTCCCACACATAAGCGGCTTGCGGTGGCGGCTGTCCGCGAGCTGCGGCTCCAGCCACTGTAACAACACACCACCGCAGTCGCAGTGGCGGCTGGTGTCTACTAGCTGGTGCTACGGTCGGACGTCAATCAACATGGTTAACCGTGGCGAAGTCTTATTACTGTTATATTAAATTCAGCAATATTATCCTATATTTAGTTGCCGCACGGGTTTGCAGATTCACTTGCAATGTAAAGTGAATACAACTCGCCGCCACCGCAAGCCACTTCTGTGTGGGAGACACTTTAAACGATACAACCATTTCATTTCTCTCAACTAAAATATATATGACATACAGCCAAAATTGAGATTCAAATTACCTTTTATAATAATTATGTAAAAGGCCATTGCCTTTTCAAAATCAGCCTAAAATTTTGAAGATATTTATATTTTTAAGTAAGGATTTTGTGGCTAAAGGGCAACATCTATATGAAAACTACATTTATATGACAAAAAAAAACAGAGAAGTTAGATAAAGTATTTAGTATTAACGGTAGATAAATATCGCTGGTATATTCGCATACAAGGAATACATATTAAAATCGCACATGTATATCGTACTAACACGAAAGTGATCTCTTCTATGATAGTTTTGTATAATAATAATAATATTTTCACTAAGATACAGATTACAAATAAGATGACTGAGATAAAAACTGGGATATTTATAAAAATGTTTCTAATATATTATTTGTAAATATTATTGAAAAACACAAGTGGCAATGTTACTTCAAAATATAAACAATAAGTATGTAGTTTAGTAACTTCATGTAAACATTTAAAGCCTCATTATGTTATAATATTCCCTCATCCAATTATTTCTCGTATATTTTAAGATAATATCAATTGTAAAATAACATTCACATTATAATATGTATAATAGCGCTTCTGGTGCGATTGTAGGACGCACATTAAGGATTCGTGGACTAGACAAATCTAATTATATTTTTTATAGTACCGTTTTACTCCCACAGAAAGTCTATAATCAAAGTGAAATATTACAAAAAATCCATATCTGAGATATGGATTTTTTGCGAAATTCGCACATATGAAATATTAAATTCACAGTTAATGTAGCTTGTATTTACGTAAACAATAATCAAATAAGA